GCAGCAGGACTTCAGTCCTGTTCAGAGCAGCTGTGGAGCTTCATGTTCACGTGTTGAAGTGAAGCTCACACACCTGCAGAGACTTTCAGCATCAAGTGTGTTTCCTCTGCAGCTTTCACTCAAGTCCACAGAGGAACCAAAGTGCTGAGAGTCATGAAGCTTCATCACTGCACAAACACTGGAGGGATGGATTTCCTGCTGTTACATGTCAACTGCTGCTCCATTTCAACACACAAACTCTGTGTGGTGATGAACATCACATCTGTTTCTGAAACATCAGCTGACTAACAAACATGGAGGCTGTCACTGAACACATCTGGATGAAACAAAGGACAGATGTGATGAGTGGACTTCAGCAGTCTGGACCAGGGCTGTGTCAGATCATATTGTCCACAATAATACTGGTATAAATTTCAGCCTGATAGAAAAGAGTCCCATCATGATGTTCACTGTAGAGTGAGGACACCATGATGTTGTGTTGAAGGACACCTGGTGGTTGATTTTGTTCCTACATCATCAGAAATATTGTTAATGAAAACTTTCAAAGGACATCTACTGACCCCAGAGACTGCAGTTTGTAGTCTGGACTCTCCTCAAGATCCAACAGCTGCTGAACATCTGGAGTCTGCAGGTTGTTGTTACTAAGGTCCAGTTGTGTCAGATGGGAGGAGTTGGACTTCAGAGCTGAGACCAGAAACAAACAGCTGATCTCTGACAAATTGCAGCCCCTCAATCTGAATAAAGAATAAAAGATGTGAGCTGAAGTGTTACAATATTTTTGGACTGGGCCTATGGTTTTGATCTGCTCAGAGACAGGATTATAATGAAATTATGACCCAGTTCTGACTGGGTTAAGCTGAGACAGCCACTTTAAAAAGAGTCTCCCTGGTATTCAATATCCATGAAGAAATACAAACCGAATTCCAAAAAAGTTGGGACATTAAACAAATTGTGAATAAAAACTGAATGCAATGATGTGGAGATGGCAAATGTCAATATTTTATTTGTAATATAACATAGATGACAGATCAAAAGTTTAATCTGAGTAAATTTAACATTTTAAAAGAAAAATATGTTGAGTCAAAGTTTCACAATGTCAACAAATCCCCAAAAAGTTGGGACAAGTAGCAATAAGTGGCTAGAAAAAGGAAATTGAGCATATAACGAACAGCTGGAAGACCAATTAACACTAATTAGGTTAATTTACAACATGATTGGGTATAAAAAGAGCTTCTCAGAGTGTCAGTGTCTCTCAGAAGCCAAGATGGTAAGAGGATCACCAATTCCACCATTGTTGCGCAGTGTAGTGAACTAAGCCTCAGGTCAAAATCTGGCCCTGAGGGCCTTCCTGGGACAAGAACTGTATTTCATTGATTTGAGTCCAGAAACACAAAATCAAGTCCATCCAGAGACTTCCTAAGTGTGTCCTGCACTGATCAATTGAAAGAACACTCTCTTTTTTATTATCATTACTATTTTACAAATGTCTTGATAATCAAAAGTGTGTTTAATTCAAATCATTTTTAAATGTTGAAGTGAACTACTTATTTTAAATCAACTGTGAAACAGTATTAATGATTTTTAATCCTCATTCAAAGTAGAAATCTAGTTAATGTCTGTTACAGAGTAATTATTCATTTTCTTGATCTTCTGTCTGAAATGAGCAGGTTGTAAGTCGGTCAAAAGTCGGAGACAAACGCAAACAAGTTTGTTGGAACGATCTGTCATGTTTTTAAATCCTCTCAGACGTAAATAGAGAAGCTGGCACCTGTTTCCTCCCATCTCGCCTAAACATTTCTCTTGTCTGTTTCAAAAACATTTTCTGTCTGTTCCAAAACATTTTTCTGTTTTTCTGACTTCTAGTGACCTCTTACGTCACAAAAACACACCCCTTATTGGCTCTTTCAGACAATCAGGACTTCCCAAATGAACCAGAAACAGAACTCTTTAAATGTCGACACTTCCTAGTTCCAAGCAGTG